GGGGGGGGGGGGGGGGGGGGGGGGGGGGGGGGGGGGGTGCCGAGAAACGTTGGCTACGGGGGCGTTGTGGGGGCGGGAGGTAGAGGTAGATGATCGCGGTGGCGAGTGGGAGACAACCATCAACCATCAACCATCAACCAAGGAAATGGAAGAGACGAAGGGCGGGGGTTGATGATAGCCAAGACGAGACCGGTGACAAGAGAAGATGGCGGTTACGGTCGAGCGGTGTCCTCTCATATGACATCACGCCACGTCATGCCCCATCAAACGATGGACAACTCGACTTCCATCCAAATCGAGACCCATGGGGATCAACGAAAGAAAAATCGAACAAACGAAGGAAGATGCATAACCCATCAACCAAGTCCAATACCAGTCGACTAGCAAGAATGAAAATCTCTTCAGATGTGATCAAATCAACAACAAAAAACTGGACTCGAACACAGGACAGGGTACCGTAAGGCAAGACAAGTCGAGCTAGGAATACCTGCATACATACCTCCATCTTGGTAGTCCGCAACGATCCGGACTGAGATCAAGACCCTGGTCGTCATCGATCGTCGCCATACAACGTGAGTCACATCAACGATAACCAGAACACGGGCAGGAGAGAGAGGCAGACAGACAATACAGACGGAGACAGACAGACAAAGGGTATTTACGTTAAACACCATGCATGTCAACGACGGATACGTATTGTGATGACATAACAGCACACCACAGGACCGCACACACTTGCCGCACGCACTCTTGCTTCCTCTCCTCATCCCGCGGCAGGCTACACGCAGGTAAATAGTACTTAACAAGGTTATCCAGATTATCACACAGGATTGCGTCATGTGTCAATCAACTTCGGGTTCAGCCGCGTGTTGCTCCGCGGATAAAGAGTGCACGGGGCTCCGCGATTTGCAGGTGAGGTGGGGCGTGGTACAGTATGTCAGACGGTGGGAGGGAGGGCGGTTTGTCGCGGTGTTGGGGCATCGCTACATTTCAATGATACGCCGTGGAACAGTCGTCGTCACAACCTAGCAGCAGATGAAACATGTTGTCAAGACCAAAACGATCGTATCCCATACCAAAAACCATCGCAACACATCCAAAGATACCCTCTTTCTCTTGAGCGTACAACCCCAACATGTTTGCTCACAAAAACAAAAAACGCCTTCGAATGAAACCTCGTTGGGGCGGGGGTCCTCATCCAAAACACGGCAGCTCTTGCTCCATTCCACTCATGCCCGGAAATTCAAGCAGTGTTCTCAGTCATATCGCTAACAAAACAAAATCTTCACATCGTACAAAAGACAAAGGGGGCGGGCGTGGTGCCAACAACCAACTCCCACCTTCCACCAATCTGACCCCTCCAACCGACCGCTTCCCGCAAAGGCGCCACGCTGTGAGGAGGGGGAGGAAGAGAGGGAGAACGAGCCGTCTCGTGCCGGCCCGTCGATTCCGACCGGCGAAGACATGAGAGCTCGAGGGGATACCCTAGGTGAAATCGGAGACACGCAAAATGCATCCACGGAGCCCCCGCCACCTCCGCCGCCGCTACCGGTCCTTGGTCTCCATGCTGACTTCCTGTCAGGCATGCATGCACGAACGCCGCACAGCGGCAGTAGTTACTAGTGCTTCACCTGCGGCGGCTGTCTCATGTGTGTATCTACATCTTCGACAAGCATGGGTTGCGTTGCCGCCGTGACTTTAACCGCCCGATCAATACAAAGACGCCAGTGACGTCACTAGGGCATCACGAGGTAACCTCAGCACACGCATGTACTACTCCGCAGCGGCCCCGCCGACAGGGATGTCGAAGAGGAGACTCAACCAAAGGAGTGGGTGTGTGTGTGGGGGGGGGGGGG